ACAGGGTGAAATTACCCCTTAAACTTTAAAATAAATAATTACCCTATGAAGACGATTAGATCCCAACTTTATTTTACATTTAAAAAACCATGAATACACTCACCAAAGTACACTGTTAGAAAATCCCTTCCGACCCGTCAAGCAGGGTGAAATTAACCCTTAAACTTCAAAATAAATAATTACCCTATGAAGACGACTAGATCCCAACTTTATTTTAAATTTAAAAAATCATAAATACACTCACCAAAGTACAATGTTAGCGAAAATCCCTTCCGACGCGTCAAGCAGGGTGAAATTAACCCTTAAACTTCAAAATAAATAATTACCCTATGAAGACGACTAGATCCCAACTATATTTTAAATTTAAAAAACATAAATACACTCACCAAAGTACACTGTTAGCGAAAATCCCTTTTGATGCGTTAAGCAGGGTGAAATTAACCCTTAAACTTCAAAATAAATAATTACCCTATGAAGACGATTAGATTCCAACTTTATTTTAAATTTAAAAAATCATAAATACACTCACTAAAGTACACTGTAAGCGAAAATCCCTTCCGTCCCGTCAAGCAGGGTGAAATTAACCCTTAAATTTTAAAATAAATAATTACCCTATCAAGACGATTAGATCCCAACTTTATTTTTAATTTAAAAAATCATAAATACACTCACCAAAGTACTCTGTATGCGAAAATCCCTTCCGACCCGTCAAGTAGGCTGAAATTAACCCTTATACTTCAAAATAAATAATTATCCTATGAGGACGATTAGATCGCAACTTAAAAAAAGGATTAATATACTCATCAAAGTACACTGTGAGTGAAAATCTCTTCCGACCCGTCAAAAAGGGTGAAATTAACCCTTTAACATTGAAATAAATAATTACCCTATGAAGACGATTAAATCCCAACTTGATTTTAAATTTAAAAATTCATAAATACACTTACCAAAGTACACTGTTGTATAAGCTGGGATCTGATCTTCTTTATTGGGTTATTATTTATTTTGAAGTTTAAGGGTTCATTTCACCCTGCTTGGCGGGTCGGAAGGGATTTTCGCTTACAGTGTACTTTGGTGAGTGTATTTATTATTTTTTTAAATTTAAAATAAAGTTGGGATCTAATCGTCTTCAAAGAGTAATTATTTATTTTGAAGTTTAAGGGTTAATTTCACCCTGCTTGACTGGTCGGAAGGGATTTTCGCTTACAGTGTACTTTGTTGAGTGTATTTATGATTTTGTAAATTTAAAATAAAGTTGGGATCTAATCTTCTTCATAATGTAATTATTTATTTTAAAGTTTAAGGGTTAATTGCGCCCTGCTTGACGGGTCGGAAGGGATTTTCGCTTGTAGTGTACTTTGGTGAGTATATTTATGATTTTTTAAATTTAAAATAAAGTTGGCATCTAATCGTCTTCAAAGAGTAATTATTTATTTTGAAGTTTAAGGGTTAATTTCACCCTGCTTGACGGGTCGGAAGAGATTTTCGCTTACAGTGTACTTTGGTATGTGTATTTATGATTTTTTAAATTTAAAATAAAGTTGGGATCTAATCGTCTTCATAGGGTAATTATTTATTTTGAAGTTTAAGGGTTACTTTCACCCTGCTTGACGGGTTACAAGGGATTTGCGCTTACAGTGTACTTTGGTGAGTGTATTTATGATTTTTTTAAATTTAAAATAAAGTTGGAATCTAATCGTCTTCATAGAGTAATTATTTATTTTGAAGTTTAAGGGTTAATTTCACCCTGTTTGACGAGTTGGAAGGGATTTTCGCATACAGTGTACTTTGTTGAGTGTATTTATGATTTTTTAAATTTTAAATAAAGTTGGGATCTAATCGTCTTCATAATGTAATTATTTATTTTTAAGTTTAAGGGTTAATTTCACCCTGTTTGACGAGTCGGAAGGGATTTTTGCTTACAGTGTACTTTGGTGAGTGTATTTATGATTTTTTAAATTCAAAATAAAGTTTTGATCTAATCGTCTTCATAGGGTATTTATTTATTTTGAATTTTAAGGGTTAAGTTCACCCTGTTGTATACACTTCACAGGATAATTATTTTATGAATTTTTTAGGTTAATTTTACCCTCCTCAACGGATCCGAAGAAATATTTACCTATAGCGTATGTAGTGTATTTATTTTTTAAATGTAAAATTAAATTGCGGTCTGATTTCCTTCGTCGAATAAGTACTTTTATCAATTTTAAGGGTTATTTTCAACCGTATATTAATTTTTTGTCGATAATTATGTGTAAAATACATATTGACAATATTATTAAAATTGTTGTACGCCGGACGCCACTGTTTTCCCGATCGGGTGTTTTCGGTTATTTTTACTGCTAAAAGTTACTGCTAACTTCACACCGGTCAGTATTTTAAGCATGATAAAATTCCAAGATTCAATAATTCGTTCACGAAACCTAACGAAACCAAAGCTTGGGCATAATATTAATGATTGTTTTCTTAAGAACACGATCGAAAAGAGACGCAACGTTAATTTTATCCAAAGCCAGAAAAGCACTGTGCCTACAAAAATATACATCGATAAAAATATTTATATGGGTGTTATCGATACCGGAGCTGATGTGTCTCTCATGTCTGATAAGTTTGTTGAAAGGTTCAAGTTAAAGCTAATTCCACAAAAATTTTGTATTAAAGGCATAACACTTGACTCGTTTATGTCGAAATATAAATTTGAGGCCGATGTAGAAATAACGGGCCAACACACTCGGTTAATATTTATGGTAGTTCCATGGATGTATTTAGACTACGACGTGATAGTCGGTTGTAATTTATTTGCCGATAGTCGTCTTGCTGCTGTTACCGATAGGGATGGCACTCGAGTTATACAACGACAATTGCCAGGTGTTTTACGACTCTCTGAAGATTGTTTACAAAAATTAAATGTACCCTTAGAAATATCATTTTGAAATTTGCAACATTGTTAAAAAATATTCCGAGTTTATAATTACTAGTTTTTTTGTTTCTGCAGTAAACAACTGTGCTATGGAAATTAATTTAATTAATAATTTTATTGCCATGTCGAGTTTTAACAACATTGTTTTACAGGGTTTGATTTATTTTGAGCAAGTTTTAGTAGCCTTAGAAAAAGCATGGTTTTTCCTAAATATTTGAAAATGTTTTCACAAACAAAAAAAAATTGATTTTCTTGGATGGAAGATTTCCGCCGAAGATGGTAGATCGGAGTAGAGAAAAATAGAGGCGTTGACAAAAGTTTCGTCCATGAAAAATGTTAAACCAGTCAGGCTTTGGCCGAGCGAGTTATTATTAGTGACTGATTTGCAAGACTTTATCAATTTTTGAAACTGAAGGGATGAAATAATAAGCCTTGAAACATGGAGTCAGCATACTTCCATGTTTAATGTTATGTTTTATATCTCAAGGATGAAGTAATAAGCTTTGAAAGGTGGGGTCAACATACACCCATCTTTAATGTTACATTTCGTGTATTAAGGACGAATAATAAGCCTTAAAAGGTGGGGTTAGCATACACCCATCTTTATTGTTATACTTTATGTATTAAGGACGAATAATAAGCCTTGAAAGGTGGGGTCAGCATACACCAATCTTTAGTGTTATTTTTTATGTCTCAAGTGCGAATAATATGCCTTGAGAGATGGGGTCAGCATACTCCCATCTGTATTATTATGTCTCAAGGGCGAATAATATGCCTTGAGAGATGGAGTCAGCATACTCCCATCTGTATTGTTATGTCTCAAGGGCGAATAATATGCCTTGAGAGATGGGGTCAGCATACTCCCATCTGTATTGTTTTGTCTCAAGGGCGAATAATATGCCTCGAAAGATGGGGTCAGCATACTCCCATGTTTTGTCTCAAGGGCGAATAATATGCCTTTAAAGATGGGGTCAGCATACTCCCATGTTTATTGTTATATTTTGTTTCAAGGGCGAATAATATGCCTTGAAAGATGGGGTCAGCATACTCCCATGAAATTTTTATGAATTGTTTTTTTAGGATTACAAATTGAAAGATGGAATATTTATGAATTGTTTTTAGGATTACAAATTCAAGAATGGGGTCAGCATACTCCCGCATGGATTATTTTATTTATGAATTATTTTTCAAGATTACAACTTGAAAGATGGGGTACTCCCATGAAATGTTTTATTCATGAATTCTTTTTAGGATTACGAATTGAAAAATGGGGTCAGCATACTCCCATAAAATATTTATTGTTTTTCAGGATTACAAATTGACGAATGGGGTTATCATACTCCCGCATTGATTATTTTATTTATGAATTATTTTTGAAAATGACAAATTGAAAGATGGGGTACTCTTATGAATTGTTTTTTTAGGATTATAAATTAAAGCATGGGGTCAGCATACTCCCATGAAATATTTTATTTATGATTTGTTTTTCAATATTACAATATCTTGAAGCTTGGGGTCATGAAAGTATTTATTGGACCTTGGCATGTAGGTCACGTTTTGCCTTTTTCCACAGAAAATTAACACACCACAGTGGAAATGGATACATGTTTCGAGAACGAAACACATGTCAGTCTGGCCGTGTTAGAGTCAGCGAATTAGGATATCGCCGCCACTGGGTCGACGATACCACGTCTGCCCTGTTAGAGTCAGCGAATTAGGATACCGCCGCCACTGGGGTCGACAATACCACGTCTACCCTTCCTCCATGGTCTACCCGTTTCAGTGTCCAGGACCAGGAGAGCGCCGAGAGCGGGGACTTGACCTTTGACCATCCGAACGCTTTAAATTGATAGGCAATATGCCGTTAAAGACATTCTTTATTTTGTTCCTTAATTAATTATATTACAAACATTGTTTACGAGATATTCAATAAAACATTATAAAACCATGTTAACACGTGTTTTATGAAGTGGCTTTACAGGGTGTTATAGTATATAGGGTGATAAATCATTTTAAAACAATAATTTTGAAGTTCATTCTTTTAACTTCTAACACAATAATATTTTAATAAAACAACAGATTATTTATAATAATAATTGTTTATTCTTATTATAACTGTTAATACATTTTTAACATTTCCTGTATCTCACTAAAACTTTTGCCCTTCGTTTCTGGTAAAAAGAAATATATTAAAATAGCACCAACAAAGCAACACAAACTAAACATCCATACGCACCAATGGATTCCATATGCTTCTGAAAATAGCGGAAAACCAGATGTTAAACCAAATACGATAGTAGTAACCACTGTGTTTATAACAGCACTAGAAGCTGCCCTAAGATCAGATGGGAAAAGTTCGCTGATGACAGCCATTGGAACTGGACCTATACCCATTGAATATATGAAGACGTTAGACAGAATTGCAACTAAAGGAAGCCATTGCAGAAAATGTAACAAATCTGAATTAGTGTATTGTAAATAGAAATACATTCCTAGTGCAAAAAGTGGAATACCAGTACCTGTAGCTGAAATTAATAGCATTCGCCTTCTCCCGAATCTTTCTACCACAAAAGAGGTAAAAATGTAACACGATATTTTGACCATCGAGACTATAACAGCAGCGATATTCCCTGAAATACTCGTACCAGCCGCATTAAAAAACGGTGCCAAATAGGTCATTATTATCGATATACCAGAAAAATGCTGAACTAATAATGGAAGTAAAGCCAACATCAAAGCAAATCTATTCTCTCTTTTCTTAAACAAATCCAACACGTTAGCTTTTTTGGCCTCAGCTCTACCTTTTAAAGTTTCTTTTATCTGAAGAAAGTCCTTTTCTAAGTCTTCTTCGCTTTTATTATTTCTAAATTTCCTTAAGGCCTCTTTACACTCCTTCTCTTTACCTTTCGACATTAAATAGATGGGACTTTCGGGAATTAGGACGAAGAATATGAGAAAAATTAGTATCGGTGCTGTTATAATTAAACTGAAATTCCTTAGAGAAAAAAGAGGACCTACAACGAAAGCAAAGAAATGTCCAATTTGGTGAAATAACCCCAGAAAACAACCGAATTTTCCTCTATTGTGGTTTTCACAGATTTCAGCTATATATATTGGTACAATAGTCCAAGCACCGGATATAGCGAAACCAAGAAAAGATCTTGAAATGATTACATAAATAACTTTCGTACTAAAAGCTAATGCTACACCGCCTAGAAGCGTCCATAATCCCATAAGCAGTAAATGCCTTTTTCTTCCTAAAAAGTCAGATATTTTGGGTAACACCATAGTACCAATTAAAGCACTCAAAGACGGAAGTCCAGCTATCATTGAAACTTCCATGGTTGTTACAGGTCTTCCAACTGGATTTACCTCCGTGTCATTGGAATAAAGTTTAACCAAAGCAGGTGATGTCCATACTACGTTAGCTCCTGATACGACTATGAGCATTTCAGCTAAAAGGAAAAAATACTTTTAAAATATATTTTTCACAATAAACTAATCTAAATGTGTTTTCGAATTTATTAATAAAATACTTTCTAGCTCAGTTGTAATATACTAATGTGATTTGGACTCTGTGCGTGTCACGATGCCAAAATATCACTCTGTATTTAGATGTTTGTAAAAAGAAAATTGTCTATTTTTAACGGTTTTGTAATTAGTATTTTATTGAAAATTTGTAAATCAATTTGGATATTTTTTAAAAATCAGTAATTGTTTTACTGCTTGGAAAAACAGTTTTCAATTTTTTATGAATTATGCATTATTAAGAAAGATTTAGTTTGGAAAATAGGTAAAGTTAATTAACCAAGATTTTATCACTAGTACAATACCAAAACCGCGAATGTGCAAATTTTCAGTTTTGAGAATTTTTATTAAATTGGTCCCTTTTTATTAAAGAATCTGCTAAATTACTATGCTCTTAAAATATACATTGGCCGTAAGTTAGGCTATACTCTCGTCACGGCATAAAAAACAATCGGCAGGCCCACTCTCCGCTGATCGCATACAAATATTATACTAAGAAAATTTGACCTTGACGGCGCCATTCGGGGGTCTTAGTCAGGGTCGGATTAAAGCGTATTCAAAGATTTTGTAATAAAATATGGTATTGATAGGCAGGATCGTATTAAAACAAAAAAGCTTCACAGATTGCGCCAAATAATTAGCTTGTTTTTATTGATGATCTTAAAATTTCTATTAATATTTTTAAAGTGAAATATATGAGCAGCCTTAAATATAACTTAGGACCGATTCCACCGTTGTGTTAAACGAAGTTTAAAATTACATTTTTACATTAACAATGTCATTTTAATCTCCGTTTAACACAACGGTGGAATCGACCCTTAATAACATATATTTATGGAAATCGGGGACAAGGAGCGTCAAATGTTATCTCGGAATTAACTAAATCTAAAAAAAAAAAATTACAAACGCCGGATTTAGTGATAACTAATTTTAAATTGTGATGAAAAGTTATTTCAGTTTTTGTTATTAAACATACAAAACTATTATTTGACATTTTTAAATTGCCAAAAATATCTTTATTTGCTTTTTTTGGATGCTTTATAATAACAATACATGGAGCTTATATCCAAGTCTTCGTGTGTTAAGGCAATTGTGTACATACATCGCAACGTTGAATTTTAAGACATTTTTTTTATTAAAAATCCGCATATATAATAAAATTTTCTTAAAAAATATTAATATTTTGTGCATACAATTTATTAATATTCTTGTTTATATTTACATTTTCGACAATATTGCCACCATTACACGCGATTTTGGAAAATGGCTCATCCTTACTAGTCCTACGAATTTCATGTAGCCTTACAAGTAAAGCATCCCCACGTTTCGCAGTTTTCAGTTCCAGAATGTAATAAATTTAAACATTGCAATTTTTTGAACGTCCTTTGAATTTGGACCGATGTAGGGTTTACACAGTTACCATCATGGAGGAAGGATAATTAAGAGTTGCAGATTCCTCACAGAAATTTGGCAGCATGTTTACCTTCAGCGACATATGGAATAGTTTTGTGCAATTAATACTCAGTCGGTAATATAGAAAGATGTAATGCTATTTTAGCTTGAAAATTGGCGGGCTTTTGAATTTACTCCGACAAAATATAAGAATTTTACATTTTTAATAGCACTGCTTAAAACACATGATTTTAATTGTGACTCATTACTAATTTACTACTTATAATTTCTTTAAGAGGAGTATTTACTTAGCTCTAGAGCGGAGCATGCAAGGGTTTCGTAGTACCCCACTTTTAAAGTTTACTTTTGCCTTATTCTGAAAGAAAAAAATATGTTCGTGTAAGTAAAGGATAAATCTATGCTCTTCTGGAGACACTCTTTTAAAATTTGAAACTGTTTTTTCTAAAAAAAAAATACAAAACTCGACTTTTTTTACTCATTTTCTCAATTTTTTTTAGAAAAAACTAAATTTAAATATTTTGAGATATTCTTGTCCGAAAATTATAAGGGGTGTGATCACCTTAAGATTGAAAGAGAATTAGCTTTAAATCATGAGATGCAAAGCATCATAATTGTCGCGTCACAAAAACCACCTGCTGTCAAGAGAAAATTTTGATTAACAGTACTGTGTATTTTATGTTGTAAAAGAGAAAAAATTAACATTTCGTGTTTTAATAGTTATTTTTTTAATTTAATAATCTATGTGGACAAAAAAATTTTATACAGACATTAAAAAATTGTTATATTAATATACTTATTTAATTGTACTTATATTTGTTGTTCCTTTAATACAATAAATACAATTTACCTATCTTCAATTCATCACTTTCCGTATCCATATACCTAGGGTCCGATTACAATTAGAAGAACACCGCTACGCCATAACTATTTTTTTCGAATTTCCAATATACAGGGTGTCATATTTTAACAGCGTAAAAAAAAACAAAAAAAAAATACAAAAAAACTTTTAAACACGCCAGCAAATCGCTGCCAGTCCTAAGCCTGGAAAAAGTGTGAAGGAAAATTTTAAAAATAAAATTAAGTATAACTGTATATGTACGCAAGTAGGACTATATATCGTAATACTTTTACCTGACTCAAGAACCCGTGTACGCAAATGTGACAAAATTGACCGTGTACGCAAATAACTATATCCTAGGTGCGAACTCGGCGACGACAGCTTTTTTTTCAAATTTCCAAGTATTTGTTTTCACCTTTGTGGTTCAGAGATATTCTGTTTCTCCTTTTTAAAGCTGCCTTGGGCTTAATTTCAATTCACTTTTAGTCGTTGCCATGTCTATTATAACTGCGATTGGTTATAAAATAGCTAATATGACAAAATTAAATTAATAGAATATCGAATATAGAGTTGGGTTAAAATTTAAACGTCATAGTGATAAATAACTTTTTTAACGTGGCGGTTAAAATTAACTAAAACATTACAGAAAAGAAATCTATTTCAGTTGTTGGGATGATTGACGATATTACTACTAAGTATGTTATTATTTGTTCAATTTACTTAATAACAAACCAGCAAAAATGTTTTAAGGACTTTACATTATAAAATTGTACTGGGAATACATAGCAATATTATGTATCTCGAAAACACTAAGATCTTTAAAGGATCCCGCACTTTTTATAGGGAAAAATGGTTTCAGTCCCAAGGTTTAATTTTTGGTGAAAAATGTAGATATCAATATCCTAAACAAAAAAGGTAATGGGCACAAAAAAATCTACCGTCAGGATTTTACGCTACGGGCCATAGAAGGTCGGCACATGGGTTTTCAGGTGTCGGGTCATATTTATCAAAAAAGAGCACGTTCAGTGGCCGACTATGGAGACATGCATGCCTGGAGGTGTGTTAGAGTGAAAAAAGTACTATATATATACAGGGTGGACCAATCTTGTGGAAAAGTTCGTCCTTGTTGAAAGAGATATTAAAAAAGTGTATTAAGAAAATTATGGACAGGTTTGAGGTTAACATTTTAAAATTATTGTTTTTTTTAACGATAACCCCAGTATATTATTTAAGATTCTGTTTACTCATTTTTTTCCATTCTTCTAATATATGGTTTGTCTATGTTATATAGGGTACTTTTCAAGGAATTGACATTTTTGTGAGAGAATCGTACATAATTCAACGTCCAGCAGCCAATTACACACTGTAGAAAAAAAACAATTTTATACCCACACGAATTTTATAATATGATGTATTATACTTTTTTTAGTTATATTTTTATTATTTGTTTATTTGTATACAGGGAGACTCAATACTCAGACCCTTGATTTTCTTGTTTTGTTTAAATGGGACACCCTATATTTTATATTACCGAAGAACCACTATAAAAAAGCTAATGCGCCTCATTCGAAACCTCAGTAGGTGGTGTGAAAGACCAGAATTGACATTTTTTAATCTCGTTTTTTTTTTGGTTCATTTTTTTTGCTTTTTACACTCCACACTCAGTTTTCTAAAAAAATGAATGTGTGGTGTGGTATTATTGAAAATAAAATCATTGGGCCTTACTTTTTTGATGACTCTCTGACACTTGAAGGATATTTATATTTTTTAACAAATTTTTTGGTACCTCAATTACAAGTTCTGTATCCTGATAATAACAATCCAGATGAAACAGATAGAAATGTTTGGTTCCAAAAAGATGGTGCTCCACCACATTTTGCACGTGGAGTGAGAGACTACTTGGATGAAGTATTTCCTAACAGATGTATTGGCAGGCGTGGAGCCATCGAATGGCCACCTCGATCTCCCGATTTAACGCCACTTGATTATTTTCTCTGAGGCCACTTAAAGTCTCAAGTGTATTTAAATCGACCGGAGACTAGTGACGAATTAAAAGAAAGAATCACCGAAGAAATTGAAAAAATTGGCCCGTACGTCATACAAGATGTTCTTCAAGAATTTAATAACCGCATTGGTTATTGTCAAGAAGTTAACGGCAATCATTTTGAACATTTAATACCATAAAATTGTACTATTACTAATAGAATATTTAAAAATAAAAATTGATGTTTCTTGAATATAAATGTACAAAAAACAGAAAATCTTATACTGCTGAATAGGGAATTAAAAACCCAATGAGGTATCACACGCTACCCCTTTCTATTTAAAAAAATTAAAGTGGTGACTTTTACTCCGAAGGGGTTGAAGGGGAGATAAATAATTTTGTTCAGAAAATGTAACTTTGGAAATACAAATCGACCTGTTCAAGGATTTTTTTCAAAACGTAATAATAAAGCCAATAATATATTCCACAAATATGGACCACCCTGTATATATATAGTACTTTTTCACTCTAACACACCTCCAGGCATGCATGTCTCCATAATCGGCCACTGAATACGCTCTTTTTTGATAAAAATTACCCGAAACCTGAAAACCCAGGTACCGACCTTCTATGGCCCGTGGCGCAAAATCCTGACGGTAGATTTTTTGTGCCCATTACCTTTTTTGTTCAGGATGTTGAGATCTATATTTTCCACCAAAAATGAAACCTTGGGACTGAAACCATTTTTCCCTATAAAAAGTGCGGGGTCCTTTGTGCAATGATAAGACTGCACTCTGTAGAGACGTTTTAAGAAAGAAGGTGCGAAATCCTCTAATTTATAAACTACCAGTTATTTATTAAAACAGACACATAAATGTTTTTTTAGTTCCTTTAAACATTTTACAAAATAAATACTTTTCGAAATTTTATAAAAAAAAATCCTGAAAATTTCACAAAAATCGGACTAAAACTAAAGGCTCAGAAGGAATTATAAATTTTCAAGGTTTCGTTTGCTCTTAATAACATCTACAAATTAGTAAACTCCTCGTAATTATTTGAAAAAGAAGGATAATATGGAATAGGTATGACCTACATTTGCACTTACCTAGTATTATAGAAATATACAGAAATAGCGTATCGGGTCTTTTCTCATTTTTTAATTCTGGTTCGAGTTTTTGGCCATTCTCAAATTTTTCTGTAGGTAAATATCTTACTTCATATAAAATTTCACTTTTTTTATCGAAATTCTCTTCTTTAGCCATAGTTTTACAATTTTAGTACGACTTTAATAAACGAAAATTCCAGAGTCCACGTACTTTTTTGTTTATATAAGATATCGCATAGTAAATAATTTATATCTATTGTATTAATTAGAAGAAAAATCCGTTATTTGCATTCATTTTGATAAATTTGACTAAAGAGATGATGTTTCAATTTACTATGATAATTTACAGGGTGCGTACAATTCACTGGGTGGTCCAAAAAATATGTAAACCCTAGATGTAACCGGGTAATGTCAGGCTTCATGGAAATATATAGACAGTGAAATGTAAATTGGTCACATTTGAAGAAGAAGTTGTACTTCAAAATAATATTCATTAAGGCTTTTTAATTTTTTCTTTTTTTATGAAAATCTACCAAGTTTAAACGGTATTTTCTTCACGTCTATGGATATCAAAGCCTGACAACTAGAAATACCCCAAACGTGTGCATAAAAGGCATCCCTCTTTATACCAAGTGTTCTGTTGTCGTCTAAATTATTGTTATACATGCAGTGCTGAGCACAAACGTAATTTACGGTAATGAGATATTTGTGAAGAGGCGTAACCAGAGATAGCAGGAGATGTAACTACTAGAAAATCGTACTGTAGTGAGTAAGACATATTCTAAGGGACTCAGGAGGGTATAATATCCGCTGTTGTCGTGCCTATTTCATTATTCTTATTTTGTTTAAAAAATTATTTACATATTTTAAAAAAGCTAAAATAATGAGATATAGTTTCACTAAATTAGATGTAATAACGTTAAGTTGGATGTGGCAAAACGCCTTATACAGCTTGCATTTCTACGTTATTTATTATAAGCGTACAAGCTTCTACATCTGGCTTACATATTGTAATGTGAGTCATTTCATTATTCAGTCATGCTCTAATACTTCAAGTCCCTCGAAACATTCCTGATGGTGTAACCACCGCCACCGACCATCATGAATGGTAAATTGTACTTTTTTAAGAATTCTACGCACTTTCCGTGGCCCTTAACTGTTAGATTGAAGCACCCTAAACGATCGCCTGTCAACGAATCGGCCCCGCATTGCAGCACCACTGCGCTGGGTTGGAACGTCTCCATAACTTTGCTGATTATCGGTACGAAAATGCTTTCGTATGCTTCGTCATCCATGCCGTCTCTCAACGGGATATTCACGGCGTAATACTTTCCTTTACCGGCCCCAATGTCTCTCAAATCGCCAGTTCCCGGGAATTATTCGCCGTATTTGTGAAACGATACTGTCATTACACGGTCTGTGGTATAAAATTCTTCCTCGACCCATCGCCATGATGTACATCGATATCAACGCTGATGGTACTTTAACAGCTCCAATATACCCAGAAATATGTCGTTCACGTAGCAAAAACCCGACGCTTCAGACTTTTTAGCGTGATGTAATCTTCCACCCCAATTTATGCATATCTCTGAGGCTTGTTTGTTTAGTTTTACGGCCGCAGCAACTAAACCGCCTGTTGATAATTGGCAGAATTCGTATAGACCGTCGAAGATAGGACAGTCTTCTCCTACATTAAACCTTTGCATTTGTTTATTGTATTCAGACATGTTGTTTGGACGAATGGATCTCAAAAATCTGATGTAGTCGTCTGAATGGAATTTAGTCATTTCCTCAGCTGTGGCTTTATGAGGCCTGTATATCTCCATTTTGCGGTAAAGGCCATAATTCAGTAGTAAATTGTGGGCCATACGTATACGATGCGGTTTCATGGGATGCCCTTGTCCATAATAATAATTTCCAATATCGCTGTCATCGTAATAGCAAACTCGTTTTCTACTGTGCGGTTGGGTGTCATTTTATCACAAAAAAATTAGTGTGTCTTATAATTAATTACTGCGCGTTTATTTAGTATAAACACAAAGAGAAATTTGGCGAAAACACGTAAAAAAACAACCACAATTTCGTGTTTCTATAAAAATACAGCTCTGCGCCGAGATGATGCTTTTTTTTTATTCTTAAACGTCTAATATTTATCTACTTATCATTCCAATCAGACAGGAGACATGAGATTAAAACTGTTGATCTTGCATCGAAACGACAATTGGAAAATTATTTATAAAATGCCTTTAATTAATAACTTGCAGAAAATACAAAAAAGTATACTAAAAACAATATTTCATCGACCTAGAACTCACCCAACAATAGATCTTTATCAAGAAGCTGGAGTATTAGATATTTATCAGTTATTTGCAAAAATTATTATTACAAAACAACGTAAAGACAAACACACTTTACTATCAGTAAGTCATGACCACGCAACTCGATATAAATTAAATAATGTTGTAATACCTAAAGCCAAAAAAACTATAGGGCAAAAAAGTTATGCTTACCTGGGTCCCAAATTATATAATGAAATACCGTTAGAATTAAAGAGCATTTATTCCCTAAATCTATTCAAAGTAAAAATAAAAAAATTGATATATTCTATCCCTACTGCGAATCTGCAACGTTTTATATCAACAAATAACGAATGTTATAGTCTGGTTTACTAGTTCAATTTAATAATTTGTCTAGAAAAAAAAAATAGTTGATAAAATGTAAATATTAATATTAAATTAAACTTAGTATTACGTAACTGTTTTTCATATTATTCTAAACATTATTTTTGTATAATTTTTCATTTTTTTTATAATATTGTAATATTGTGTTTTATTAAGACTGCTCGTCCTAAATAACCAATAATAACCCATGCTCAAGGATTCTTTTTGTGGGTGTTTCTGTTTATTTATCTCGAACGAACTTGATATACATTATACATTGTTTTTATATTATTTTTGGTAAATAAATTATTATTATTATAAAACGTATATATCAACACGAAATACAAAAACTGTACACAGTCTCAATTACTCACTCTGGCTATATAAAAAAATGTTTAATTACTATCCAATAATGTATTGGAGATTATACAATTAGATTATTAGACGCACCATGTCATAGCGTTGGTCCTATCAGTTTTTTTGTATCATCCGGACTAGATTTTAGCGGACTGTCATCACCTTTTTCCGCTTTCACTTCATCTTTAATCTTATCTTCGTCCTTATTTTCTCCGCCTTTATCTAACCCCAGTCGCTTTCGTCCCTTGTAACTTCGATTGTCCCTCCTGTCTCCCTCGCCTTCGTCCTCGCTGTCTGAAAACTCGTTTTCTGGCACGATCCTTTTGTCCAAGTCCTTTTGCGGCAACCGCTCATCCTTATCCAACTTCTGACACCAATGTGATGTTTGTTTACTTTAAAACAACAGTTTATTTATTAATAATTTATTTAAACACTTATTTATTTTATAACACAACTATTCTAATTTATATATACTTCGAATGTCTTTAAACTGATCACTATTTATATTCACCACTGACTATCTACTAATTACTATTTATCTTCACTGTCCATACAATAACTAACTTTTGTTGGTCCTCCACCAATATTTATATACAAATTGGTGGTCTAGAATGTTCCTCCACCAAAATTACCAGAATGTACCAGAAACGTTATCACGTTATATTTAGACTAGAAATAATATCTCGTTGACTCTGGAATAACAAAAAGTTTAAAGTAAATATTTATCAAAACCACTTGATAGATTGTCTCCCTCTTTTTTATTAATACGGGGTGTAGCAATTATAGCGTAATTTTTTATAAAAATTGTAACACCCTGTAGAGTGCAACATATACATTATCAAGTTAGAATTGATATCACAATTTAGCCTTATCTTTTCTCAACATTTTTCTTTTATTTACTCTATTATCTTTGCCATTATACGAGAAAACCTATTTTATAACATAACATGATCTTATTAAAAATTAATATCAAAATTTAACAATGAAAACACGAAACAAAATGTAAAGAAATAAGGTAAACGAAAGTGTCAGTAGCAAGTATTTCCTCCTCTGGCCCGAATAACTTCTTGACAACGGCGGCCCATAAGAAAACTTGTCATTTTGGTCCAATTCTTCTCATATGTGAATCAGTCTATGCCGTACATCTTCCAGAGAGTTTAGATTACGCTTCTCTTGTAATCTCCCCCCAAAAGTATCCCAGAGATATTTTATCGGATTTAAATCCGGGCTCCGAGCTGGCTGTGCCATAGTAGCGATACCGATTTCCTCTAAATAATTTCTTACAACCGAGCAACATAAGGCCTGGCTTATCAACAAAATTCCTTGTCCTATATATATATATATGGTGCAAATGGCACTACGTGTTTCACATCTCCAATTAGATGTAATAGATTAGGAATACAAGTTCCGTGCGACCACTCAAAGAAATGCCTCCTTAGACCATCAGAGATCCTCCTCCAAATAATGTTGTATAGGGCGTCGATATACGCGCATATGCCTGTCATTGTTATACAAACAAAATCGAGACACATCAGTAATAATACCTATTGCTATTCAGCGTCTAACCAGTTACGATGCACCCTGGTAAAATTTAGCCTCGCTCTGCGATGAACTCTAGTTAGAACTGAACCTCGACCAGCTATTCTAGGCCTCAAATTATGTTCCCTTAGTCGCTGACGAAAAGTTTCTGTACAAACTTCTAAACAATTAGCATCCCTAAGCTGGGAATGAAGGGTCCGAGCTGTTACAAAACGTTGTCTTAATGCTGACAGTCTTAAATATCGATCCTGAATCGGAGTAGTTACTCGGTTTCTTTCTTGTACGAGCCTACGAGCATAATTTCTAGTCTCTCTATATCTTTGTATAACTCGTAAAACGGTTATGTGAGTTAACTCAAATAGTTCACCAATTCTTTGGTAACCCCAGCCCTCTTCAAACAGTATTAAAGCACATTCTTAGCGAGTAAGATTTCGTGGCATATTTATTAATAATTTTTTTTGCAAAAAGTAAAGTATGGACCAATATCACAGCCAATACTGACAATTACCGGCTACCCCCCCCCCCCCTCTAGTCGGCCCTGACAACCATTTGACAGATCTGTTTTTGGACCTCTTTTAAAATCTGTAAATAATTCCTGCGATACTTTCATGAGAACTAATCCCGGCAAGTCAGCAAGTCAATTATTATATACGATATCCCAAATACTGTAAGTAGCAATAGCTTTGCCTTTAGCAGCGACCCTTTCAAATATAAAAGCTGAATTCAAAGTATCAGGAATATATCCGTTGGGCGTGTTTAGTGTAAACGAATTTAACGTATCTAATGCTATTAACTGTTTAAGCACAAAAAACTTTTATGCATTAAACACTTTAAATAGATAAAAAATAATAAAGTTATAGTACATACTATAAAAAGTTCACTTTAAAATCAATTATTGTTTAAAACATTCTATTGTTGCGCCATTTACCGCGTCATAATGAAGCGCTTATTACTATTGATCAATAAAGAACCTGTGATACCATAACACATACAGTTAATCGTTATCTTTTTCTAATAGTGACTTTTATGATAGTTATCTCTTTCTAAAATCAGATTATTATTGTGTCTTTTTTCATGATACAATAATTTTAAAATTTCCTAACCTCCAATCGATTTTGGGAAACATTGAAATTGCTTTTAAAAAGTGTGATAAAATAAGCATTTGTTTAATTTTGCTTTATATTAAAAATATCTGGTTGTACTTGGTCCCTATGATAAGTAAAAAAACACAAACTACTATCGCGCTTTTATATTTATTTTGATGTAAGTAAAGATATTCTAAAATCGTTTTTGTTTCCAATTTGATATAAATTTATAAAACGTACCTAGTTGATCAACTAGTAGGTATACACCTACCTTTTTACTTAACGCTGAGTATGAGAGTACTAATTAGTTTGCATTATTTTTTAGGTGGAAGAAGATGCAGAAAACTAGATCCATTTTAAAATTATGGGTAAAAATTTGACAATAAAACAAGATGTGCCTCATAAATATACCACCTAAGATTCCAATTAAAGGATCTTTATCTGGGTGACCGGAAAAAAGCGCAAAGGAAATAGGCGCACAGGAAATATGCGCACAGACATATAAGCGCACAGGAAATAACCGCACGAGGAAATATGCGCACACGGAAAAAACCGCACACGGAAAAAAGCTCACGGGTATAAAAGCGCACATGGAAAAAAGCGCACATTGAAAAAAGCGCAAAGTGCATGTAGTTTATATTTATATTTTGTTATTTTTTTTTTTGTTGTTTGATTAAAACTTTAATTATCGTTGTTTACAGTAGTTACCATAATTTTTGCTGATAATTCAGGAATCTACTCAGTTATTTATTCGGAATTATTATAAGTACGATACAAAGAATAGATCTGTACCTTGGTTTGTTATATTCCAGGTGAAAAATATTAGACAAGTTTAAAAAAATTCTTAAAATACTTTCACAATAAAGTTAATACAGTTTATAATATTCATATCTCCATTATGGATTGTTGAGGACAGACTAATTCCACCAAATCCGCTTTTAAAAATCATAACGATCAGTTTCGCCGCGAGGAAATTATGCTGATGGGGGTGTATATTTTACTTATCTCATACAGTGTGTATCTTAATTAAAACGAAATATTTGCAAGTGGTCATTTATTTTTACTGGAGATTATAAAATTAAGATAGGTAGGTACTTATTATTTCATTTATTAGTTGCTTTTTTGTTAATAATTTTTAATTCAGGATAAATCCCATGCCGTCAATCTCTTTCTTTATAAGTTGCCACATTGCAGTTTCAAGTAACTTGTATACTTTCGTCTTTTAACAAGCAGAAGGCAACGGAAACAGACATTTCATTTGCATATGCATGGATGTTAAACAGTTTGGCAGCTCATTTTTCCCATTTAAGTTGGCGAAATTTACGAAATTTTTCGAAAATAATTAAAGGGTCACTAAACGGCATTTACAAGAATTGATAGTCGAACCGTTTTAAATAAAGACACGAATTAAACTCAACCTGTGCCTAATATTTTAA